GGGGTGACGTCAGTGCCCGAAGCCTAGAGGGGAGTAGTGTGTCCACCGTCAGCCGTGGTCAGCTTTCCCCTCGCCCTCCCCAGGCTCCGCCATGGCTCCGATTCCTGCCCTGTGTCCAGGCTCGTGCCCCAGGGCCACGTGACTCCCCGTCTGCCCACAGTCTCCGCCTCTCTTCTCTGGGACGGAGCCCTTGGGCCAGCGGTGGCTGTGCTCTCGCCTTAGTTACCCACCTCCAGCCCTGCCCTGTCTGACCTGCCTCCCCTCCACCGAGCCACCTCTGTGCCCCTTCCCTGGTGTGGACTCTGCACCGCGTGTTCTTCGGTTTCTTCACATGGGCTGATTACCGACGCCTCGAAGGCACTGCCGTGTCTTGTCCCCAGAGGACTGATACACTTATGAGCACATGAAATTGGTGGTGGCTTAAATCTTTCCTTTTTGAAGAATTGGTTGGAAAATTAGAGGACTGATTTTCCCTGGTTCCTGGAAAATCATGCCCTGGCAAAAATGGAATTTGTAGTTTAAATTCTAATACTTGTATCACTCACCAGCTGAGGTGTGTCTCAGGCTGGACATACTTGGACTTAAGAAGGAGGAACTTGCGCCTGGACTTTCCCTTCCCGTTGGCTGTTTGCCTCTGCCCTCCCGGGGCCCGGGGGCCAGAGAGCCTCTTGGGCCAAGTCCTGTGGCCGTGGGTGCGGCGAGCACAGGGTGTCATTGAGCAACTTGGTCTTGCAGGTGCTGGATGATTTCTCCAAGCAGGTGGACAGGATCGACTGGCCTGTCGGATCCCCTGCTACCATCCACTACACAGCCCTGGATGGCTACCTGAGTACCTACCAGGTAGGGGCCCAGAGCCTCGGGAACCTCCCAGCCTGACAGCTGGGCGCGGTGACTTCCTGACCGCCTTGATGTCGGCCCCGGGGGTCTCGGGGGCTACGCGAGGACCTGGAACCTGGGTGCCGAGCAGGCTGTTGCTGCTGTCGCGGCTTCAAGGAGCCTGTGAGAGTGTGTCCAGCTGGCTGGGTTTTGAGCTTTGATTCTAGGTGGTCACTCCAGTCCTGACGTCGTTTTTATTTTCGGCTCTTTCTTAGAATCCCCGAGAAGCTGACCCCATGAGTAAAGTGCAGGCTGAACTAGATGAGACCAAGATCATTCTGGTAAGGAAGCCAGAGATGAGGCTGCGGGGAACTGGGTAAAGGGCCACGCTGCCTTGCTTTCATCTGTACCTTCATCCAGTTAATTTTTTTTTAAAATATTTTTATTGATTTCAGAGAGGAAGGGAGAGGAAGAGAGAGATTGAAACATCAATGATGAGAATCATTGATGGGCTGCCTCCTGCACACTCCCCACTGGGGATCGAGCCCACAACCTGGACATATGCTCTGACCAGGACTTGAACTGTGACCTCCTGGGTCATAGGCCGACACTTAACCACTGAGCCACGCCAGTTGGGCAATCCAGTTAACTTTGGTGATGCGAATCCGAGTGACTAGGCCCATGTGGAGATGGGGACTTTTTGCTCCTTCCTCACTCCATGCCTTTTCACATGTGTGAAATCAGGCTCAGTGGGCCT